TAATTATACATTCATCCATAGAATAGAATACTAAGCAATCATTTTTTTTGTAAGTGTGATGCTGGGGTTTGAACTCAGAGCCTTGTGCTTGTAAGGGAGGCACTCTACCACTTGAGCCACACCTCTGGCCCTTTTTTGCCCTTTTGAGATAGGTCTCACATTTATTCCTGAGCCTGCCTGGATTGTGACCTTCCTACTTATACCTCCCATGTAGCTGGGATGACAGGCAGGAACCACCATGCCCAGATTTTTATTAGTTGAGAAGGGGTCTCATGAACTTTTTGCCTGGGCTGGCCTTGAACCTTGATCCTCCTAAGTAGCTAGGATTATTAAGAGCCACCAGACCCAGCTAGCAATCATTTTTTCAAATGAAGTAAACCAATATGCACTCATCTGGAAAAAAAAAAATCCATGTCACGCACACTGAATAAATGGAAAATTTATTCATTTTGGCCAGATGACACTTTGTTGTTGGGTTGTCCTGTGCATTCAAGAATGTTCAGCATTCTTGACCTCCCTGACCTCTTCCCCTTGGATATCAACTTCACTCCCATGATTATAACCCAACTTATTTTCAGACATTGTCAAATGCCACCCCAGTTGAGAATCACTGGTTTAAAATAATGACATATTGACAACTTAGGTTTGAATTCTATAGAAAAAATGCTATAAGGCTATACCAAGTTTGTAATGATGGTTCAGAGAAAAATTGCCTTCTTTTTTAAATTTTATACCTCTCACTACTGTTTGATTTTTTTTTACAAGTATGTCTTTCTTCTGCAATTAAGTATAAATTCTATTCCTGTTCCATTCCCACTCACAGGTGTTCACGTGCACAAAGAAAGTAAAAAAAAGTGCTTGTATCAGGGACTGTATTTGGAAGAGAGAGGCAGAGGAGCCTTATCTGGGAAGGAAAGACCTTTGAAAGAACTTAATAGTAATCAAAGTCCATCAGTCAGGCACCTGGAGTGTCACCAGGCCACTTGGCATGAACCCTGTGTGAGACAGCATGAACTACATAGGAAGGTACAATTCAGAGCCCCTAGTTTTTAATTTGCTGGGGGATCATGGGCTTGCATTCTCTGCTTCAATCCTTTCATCTGCAAAAAGGAACATCTGCTTTCCCATGAGGAGAAAAGATCATTAAAACCACATCTAGAAGTGGCTTCCCCTTGTCACATTTGATGGTACATAAATAAAAGACAGAGGTCTCACTAATACTGGCTTCAGTGCTACACATGCTATTAAAAAAAAAAAAAGACTGCTTCATCTAATTTGAGCATTTTGGAGTTGGGAGAATTTCAGAATGCCTGCTTGAATTTATTCCTAATTTTGAAAGAATTCCTTCTAGGGAAATTGTTTCAGTTCATTGATATGCTCATGAGAAAAACAACAGAGTTAATCTTTTTTTGTCTTTTTTGCTCTTCTCACTGACAGACTGCCTGAAGAAAACAGCTGAGAGAGCTGTCCAGAAATTACAAGGTAAAGTGTCACAGCTAATTTTTGTGATGCCTTCCCCACCAAGTTAGGGCTCACGTCAAATTTCCTACCTGGAAAATAATAATCATTCAGTCCGCCATATTGATGTTAGATATCTATCGCTAATGGCTTCACCAGCTCTAACTACATGGTTCTGAGGGGGTCGGAATTATATTTGGGAAACTGGCAAAGGACAATTCTCTTGCCCATCTATGTTGGGGATTTTTTTGCTGTTGTTATTGGTTTTTTGTTTGTTTTGTTTTGTGGTGCTGGGGATTGAACCCAGGGCCTTACACATGTTAGACAAGTGCAGTACCACTGAGCTGCATCCCGAGTCTATGCCAGTGTTTTAAAGTGATTTGAGAGTTTGTGAATCAAACTATGAATAAGTGCACAATGCCTTATTTCACATTCTTTTTTTCATGGTGTTTATTTTTTCTTGGTAGAATAACACTGCTGAGAAATTCAGTTTTGATTCACAAGGTACACTAAAATGTACACTACCCATGCACATTTTAGTCATAGCTTTTGGAACAATTTATCCTTCTCCCTTGATGTGAAACAATTTCTTAAAAGCGTTTTGGTTCACGTGGTGATGTTTTACTTCTTTCCAACTTTACCTTTGTTTATCAAAGTGCTAATATTAAGTAATTAATTCATTAAGAAATTAAGCCTTCCCTTTTTTTGTTTCCTTGTTTGAATCTCAATGGTGGAGCTCTGGATCTTCCATTGTTGAGATTCTAGAATCACCCCATATGAAATTCTTATAACAAAGAGAAAGCCACACTTCTCTGGTCTGCATTGCACACAACACAGTAGGATCAAATGAGGTAGACACCAGGAAGCAGAACATCATTTTCTAAGTCTCTTGCATGGCCACATGCAAGGAAGCTGTGCCAAGCCAGAGCAAGGGATATATTTTGTTCTTTGTTTTTTGGGCTTTTTTCCAGTATTAGGGTTTGAACTCAGGGTCTTGCACTGCTAGGCAGGCACCCTACCATTTGAGCTACACCCTCAGTCCTTTCTCCTTGGTTATTTTTCAAATACATTCTTGTATTTATGCCAATGCCAGCCTGAACTATAGCCTCTTTTTTCTTTTTAAAGGTTTCTTTCATAGCTAGAATGACAGGCGTGCACCATGATATCCAGGTTATATTGGTTGAGATGGGGTCTTGCAAACATTTTAGCTGAATCTCAGTCCTTCCAACTTTCATCTCTTGAGTAGCTAGGATTACAAATGTGAGCCACCAGTGCCCCGCTACAAGGCCAGTGACTGATTGTTGTGTGCATAGGACCACACAGCTCCCTTGCCTGTGTTCTATTTATACTCCAGCTCTCAACAACCACTGAACACTAGAGCTGGGATTTTTTCTGAAATGGCACATTTGCCTGGCTTCTTTCCTTTCCCTATCTGCGTCTCCTGGCAGTTTGTCCATACAACACCTCTCACACACACGTTCCCACCTCCTAATCAGCATCGAGGAGCCCTTCCTAGAACATTATCCTTCCTCATTCTCCAACCTTTGATTCTTCTTGTTCTGCACAGTCACCATCAGTGACACCTGGTTTCAGTCTCAAACTCCTATTAAGACACATACATAATTGGACACCTGGAAGACATGATTTCTGGTCATAGTGTTGAAGCTCCTCCTTGCCAGTGGCACAGTCCTCTGTACCACACAGAAGGGCTAGACAGTTGTGGTGCCACCATATGCAGTGTTCAACAGGCTCGTTTCTTCTTTGGCAAAATCACAAGTCTATCATAAGAAAGTTCTATCCTGCTTTTTCAAGAACATGAGTTAGAAACTCCTCCTTGTTTTGGACTGAGCATTTGTTTGAATTGGTTTCTCTTTTTTGCTGATCTTGGACCTTGATCCTCCCGTGTACCTGGGATTATAGGTATGAGCCACCACATGAGGCTTTTGACTACTATTTGCAAGAACTTGGGTGATTCAATGAGACTGTAAAGATATGGTGAGGTGGCACACACCTGTGATCCCAGCACTCAAGAGACTGAGGCAGGAGGATTCCAAGTTCAAGGCCAGCCTTAGCTACATAGCAAGACCCTGTCTCAAACAAACAAACAAACAAAAAAATCAAGATACATCTCATGTGCTGGCATTGTGGCTCAGTGGTAAAGCATGTGCTTAGCATGCACAAGGCCCTGGGTTTGGGAAAGAAGGAAGGAAGGAAGGAGAGAGAGAGAGAGAAAGAAAGAAAGAAAGAGAGAAAGAAAGAAAGAAAGAAAGAAAGAAAGAAAGAAAGAAAGAAAGAAAGAAAGAAAGAAAGAAAGAAAGAAAGAAAGAAAAAGAAAAAGAAAGAAAGAAAAGGAATTTACTGGGTTTTTTTGGTTTGGAATCTTCTCACCTGCATAGATTTGGAGTCACTAATGCCTGAGGTCAGAAGGGAAAGAAAGAGGAAGGGAAAAGAAGGGAATAGGAAGGAGAGGGGAGGGAAAGGCAGAAGAGGGGAGAAAAGGGAGGGTAGGAGAAAGAATGGGAAGACAAGGGAAGAGAAAGGAATAGGAAGGCAAGGGAATGGGAAAGCAAGGCAAGGGAAGGGAATGGGAAGTCAAAGGAAGGAAGAAGAGGAAGGAGGTATAGAAGAGGAAGAAGAAGGAAGAGAAAAGTAAGGCTTAGGTAGGAGAGGAGACTTGAATGGTTACAATAAGGAAAGCTGTCCTAGAGACAGGTAGCCGTGGCATTGCACAGCTGGAAGGATTTCTTTCTTCCTCATCTCCTCTTCTGCCCATCTCCCACACCCCATTTCACTCCAGGCCTGCTCAGGAGCTGCTGAAGAATCATGCAGCTTGTCTCGGCAACTCAGTATGGCTCCTCCAGAGAAAGACAAGATATCCTCTTTTCCTGCATTTCCACAGACCTTAGTCCACCTGCAGTTCATTAATCGACTGTGGTTTCTTTGCCTGTGACTCACCTGACATCATTTCATATTTGTTGGATCACAGTGTCATTTGTCATCCAATTCAGGATACTTTGAGCATGAAAGAGGGTGCAATAAAAATTATGTATAACTAAAAAATGTATAACTAAGATTGAGCCTGGGAAACTGGAGCTCATGGTCAACTTACACATTCACCACACTCAATTCAGGATGTCAGACTGTATAATAACTCACTGGAGTCCATGAATGATGCCCCAGAGGACAACTCAAGCCTTCAGATCTTAAGACGGACCAAGGGTTCAGACTCTGGACCACAGGAGAGATTCTGATGGTGGCTTACTACTATAAACTTCTTCTCTGTGTTTTTGAACTTTGTATGCTAATTGAGAGAATTATATCTTTTTGAGAAGTATTTATAGCAGAATGCCATTGGAAATACAGAGGTAGCTCCAGACAAGCCCACTCAGCCTTTCTGAGATCACTCAACAGGGTGTCTATATGATGTCCCATCTTTTACAGACCATTTGAGAAACCAAGAAACAACAGCCCTATAAGCCCCCAAAGTTGTCTGCATGCCAGCCCCGATGATACCATACCTCCTACTCAGGAGGCAGACTCACCATTCTCACAGTGCTGCCCAGTATAGCCTGCCAAGCAGGCACACTTGTAAGACCCAGCTGCGTCGAGGAGGCACGTGCCATCATGGAAACAAGGGGATGAGGAGCAGGCTGGAAGAGAAAGGCAGCCCTCAGTGTCACTGTGCAGTGAGGCCATCTCTCCAAGCCTGGATTCTAAACCCAAGACTTTTACTTGACTCCTTACAACTTTTTTATTCCTTTTACTGAATTCATGGTACTATTAGTTGAAAAGGCCTAAACCACAATAATTAATCATTGAATGTTGCTGACACCAACTGATGTTTCTGAAGCTCCCCACAAGTACGCTGAAGGTATCAGGCATGGTGACTCATATGGATAATCCCAGATACTCCGGAGGCAGAAGCAGGAGGATCTCAAGTCAGGACCAGACTGGGAAAAGTAATTGAGACCCTTTCTCAAAAGCAAAATGCAAACAAAAGGACTGGGGGTGTGACTCAAGTAGAAGAGCACTTGCCTAACATGCATGAGGCCCTAGATGAGGTCCTAGATTCAATCTCAGTACTTCAGGAAAAAAAAGAAAAAGAATTTCCAAACATACTTGTCCCTTACAATGTTACTGTATTCAGCTAAATAAGTGCTCTGGGTTCAAATATGCTGAGAGAATGCAGCTAGAGTTCAATGGCAATGAAACATTTTTTTTGGCAGTGCTAGGATTTGAACTCTGGACTTCATACCCACTCTACTGCTTGAGTCATGCCCCCACACTTCTTTTTACTTTAGGTTATTTTTTAGATAAGGTCTTGCTTTTTTGCAGACTAGACTTAAACCATGAGTCTCCTTGCCTCTACCTACCAAGTAATTGGGATTACAGGCATGAGACACAATGCTAGGTTGAACCAAATTTCTTTACTGGAGAGCCTCTCAATTACTTGCAAAGTTTTAAGAATGTACATAATGAGCAGTTTTCCCCAAGCTGATTGGACCTCAGAACCTGCAGTTTACAGAGCATCCTGGGGACACTGACAAACACTGGTCTGTGTGTGATCTACCATTCCTACATTCTAGTGTGGAAAAAACTGCTTTGGTTTAGATCAATCAGTATTTCTCTGTGGAAGGTGCTGGTGAAACACAAAGATAAACAGGACATTCTATTTGCCAAATCAAAGCCACATAAAGGAAAGTATACAGCATCTATACAGGAAGCATAAGGCAGTTAGTGACCTATTAAAAGAAGAAAAGCAGAGGAAGGTGACAGGGCAGTTGAAAAAGGGCAGTGACAGCTCATGGGAGCAAGAGTAAAGGTAGCAGAGGAAAGAGAATGTGAGACATGTCCTGAATGGTAGGTTTTGACATGCAGGTTCAGGACAGGTGACCTTAGCCTAAGGGAATGACGTGAGTTCAAGCAGATGGATGGTGTTTGAAGAACAAGAGGTGGTATTGCCTATTTGCCAGTGCTTCACAGCATTCTCCAGGGGAGGGTGAGGAGTCTATCTCAGAGACCCTAGGTCATAGAGCCAGAAGCCAATGAGGCTCCGCTGCCCCGGTCTGGCTTCCCTGATAGCCAGCTCTAGTTGGTGGTCATAAACACCCACAATCGCATCTTGCATGGGACTGCTTAGTTTATGCTGCAGGGTATCATTGTAGGACAAGGATCCAGCCACAGGTTGACCATCCACCATCCTAGCAGCAAAACATCTGAACTCCAGGCCCCGCAAAGTGCCATGGCACACAGTGTGGGACAGAGCTGGGCTTGCTCCTTCCTAAGGCCCCTGCTGAGAGGTGCTGCAGGCCCCATCCAAAGGGAGGGGACACTGGGTGGCCAGGCTGCTGGGCTTGCTAAAAGAATGGACTGAAGGAGGATTCTATGACCACCCACTTTCTTTCCTAAGACTTTCTCAAGGGACCCTCCAAAAGGAGCCTTAATGATCAAAATGTCATTGCATGCTTATTCTTATTATTCAGTACTTTAAAAAAAAACTGGCTTTCAATCCTGAGCTTATTTTGTAAAACCCAAAGCAATCAAACCTCACAACAATGAGAGCTGAGGTGACTGCTTAGAATTGAGCATTTCATTCATTTTAATCAAAGCTACCTCTAAATATGACCAAAGAGTAGAAGTTAAAATTGGACTTGGAGTCTCTTGCCATTGTAGTTTAAGACTTTCATTGTTGAAAGAAGCATCACATACCTTCTATGAGATCTTGCTGCTGTTCAAGCAATGGTATTAGTAAGTTCAATCTTATAATTTTGGCACAAATATAATATAAATGTAACCTAGGATAACTCATTAGTCCCAGTCTACATCTATTAATTTGCTTGACTGGGTTGTAACTAGAGCAAATGAATACTAAATAATGTTCACTCCATCTTTACAAAAGAAATAAAGTACACTTAATCTTGTTAATAAAGTTTTAATTTGTATTTAAAACAAGACTTTCATTGTCTATTTTACAAGTGGCAATGAAAGGCTCGGGGGACCCCTGGATTGGGCAGCTATTGAGTGCTTACTGTGTTCTAGACTGTGCTAACCACTTCATTGTTCTGTCTTCTAGCATCTCCTTAAGAAGAAGCATCTACTGTCATCCCCTTTTGACTAATTAGGAAACTGAGGCCCAGAGAAGAAGAATTTTCCCAAAGTCACACAGCTTGATCTCTAAGGATCCAAAGCCAATGCTCTTAACCATGAGAGGACCCTTCATGTGAGCTCTAGAGCCAAACTGTTTGTGGGCAAGTCCCTGATTCTACCCACAAGGCTATGTGACCTAACGCACATGATCCAGCCTCTCTGTGCTCCAGTCACTACCTCTGTATAGTGATCATTCCTAGTTGTGTTCTGGGCAAATCTTTCTGAAAAATGCCTTGCCATTGTATATATACTTTTTTCTATAGGCTGCTTCTAAGAACTCAGCATGCTGGGTTTTCATTAAACTGAGCAGGAAGAAAAGTGGTTACACAGAAAGGAGATTTTGCAGAGCAAACCATAAACTGCTATATTTGCCTCTGAGGCCTTTACCTGTGATCTCCTCAAAGACAGCATGGAAGCCATCAAAATTCTTGGAGCCATCTGAGTGGAAGAGGACATGGAGTGAGGAACCTGTGCTCCGGATGGGAGCTGGCCGCTCATTGCCACAGAAACGCTTGATAATGGGACTGTCACTGTTGTCACCATCACGGATCTCAACATAATCGTACTGGCACATGTAGTCAAACTCCAGGCTCAACATGCTAAACCTGCAGGAGGAAAAGATGACAAAGAAACAGGTGGACTCAGACCATCCTGAGATCCCATGTTCAAGGTCAGATGATGACCTCATAGAAATGAACTCTGAACAAAAAGCAAGACTTAGCCAATAGAAAAAAACTGAAATAATCTCCTATGTTTTATCAGACCACAATGGAATAAAACTTACACTCAATGGCAAAAGAAACTACATAATATATTTAAACACATGAACACCACAAAACACACTACTGAATGACCAGTGGTTATAAAAGAAATGAAGGGGAATTAATAAAATCCTAGAACCAAATGAAATGAAAACACAGTTTATAAAACCTTTGGGACCCAACAAAGGTAGTGCTAATAGGAAAGTTTATAGCTATAAGTGCCTACATTAAAATATCAGAAAAATCTCAAGTAAATAATCTAATGATGCACCTCAAACTCTAGGAAAACAAGACCAAGACAAACCCAAAAGCAGTACATGGAAAGAAATAACAAAATTCAGAGCAGACATTATCAAAATGGAGACTAAAAAAATATAATGAATCAAAGAAATGAAGAATTGGTTCTTTGAAAAACATAAGTAAGATTGATAAGTCCTTAGCCAAACTAACCAAAAGAAGGAGGAACAAACCCCAAATTAATAAAATTACAGATGAAAAGGGGATATCATAACAAACCCCAATGAAATTCAGAGGATCTAGAAGAAATGGATACATTTCTACATGTGTATGACTTTCCTAAATTGAACCCAGAGGATACAAACTACTCCAGCAGATCTATAACAAATATGAGATTGAAACAGTAATGAATAGTCTCCCAAAAAACAACAGCCCAGAAAAAAGAGGATGACTGGATCCAAGATGGCAACTAGGGTGCAGAAGCAGACAGTGTGAGCTCCATAAATGAAAAATCTTGCTGAGATGCTGAAGCCACACTAAGAAGAATCAAAACTCTGACACCCTGAGCCCCTAGCCCATACAAAGCTTCTCCACACCACGTTACACTGAGAAAACAGGAGGGCTCCGGCACTGCCAGACACTGCTCCAAACCTGCTTGGGAGACATTTGGCAGACCAACAGGATGACTAGTAGGCTACAGAGCTGATCTCTGCAACCTAAAAGCAACATACAAACTTAAACCGCCACACCTCAATGAGGTAGGAACTGACTAAGCAGCTGCCACTGAAAGACAGAAGAAAAACTGGCAAGACTCCCCTACCACCTGGTGAGACTAAGACAGAGGCTCTACTTAAATACCAACACCAGGGCTGGATGCTGAAGGAGTAACAACAGAACTACAAAAACTGAAATTCTATTATTCCTGAACCTGGAGGGTTTTTTGTGTGTTTGTGTGTTTGTTTTGTTTCTTGTTTGTTTGTGTTTGTTTGTTCATCTCTCCGCATTGATTTCTTTGGTTTTTGTTTGTTTGTTTTGTTAGTTTTACTATTGTGAGTTAGCTAATACTAAATTACACCCAGAACAGGGACAGAAATAGCATACATACACTAAGCTAAAAACCCAATACACCCATAAAGCCAAATTAAACCAAGGGAAAGAAAACAAGTGACTGAAACCACCAATAGCCTATCAAGAACATAGTTACACAGTACTAAGTGGAGTGATGGGAAGATGAAAAAGGGATGGAAACTGTTCTCCCCCAAAAAATAATTTAATACAGGATTCAGAGAGAAATGAAGAAAATGGATACCTAGTTACAGACTCCAACAAAACAAAGATAAACAACACCAAGGAAGCCAACGATGCCCACAAGAATATCCTCAAAGAAGAACTCCTGCAAGTAATCATTGAGATTTTCATAGAGATGTTACCTGACACGGTTAACCAAAATGTTCAAGAGGCACTCAAGAAATTCCAAGACACCAAAAATAAAGAATATGAGAAGACACACAAACAAATAAATGAACTCATAAGAGCCCTAAATAAACACCAAAGTGAACCAGAGAAGACTATAGAGAGATGAGTGAATTAAAGATGAAAATTGACAATATTAAAGAGGAAGTAATACATGATATGGAAAATCTCAGAAAAAAGAATGTAATAGAAATACAAAACACAATGGAAGGCCACTCCAGCAACTAAAACAAGCAGAAGACAGAATCTCAGAACTTGAAGATAAAATGGAAATTAAAGGAAAAACTGAAAAGCTATTACTCAAATGACTCAAGACCTGTGAAAGGAATATGCAAGAACTCACCAACTCCATCAAAAGACCAAACCTGAGAATCATGGGCATTGAAGAAGGAGAAGAAGTGCAAGCAAAAGGGATTTGTAATATATTCAACAAAATAATAACAGAAAATTTCCCAAATCCAGAGAAAGCTATGCCCATTCAGGTACAGGAAGCCTCCAGGACACCAAACAGAGCTGACCAAAACAGAACTACCCCACAACATTTTATCATTAAACAACAAGAACAGAGAATAGAGAAAGAATATTGAAGACTGTAAGAGAGAAAAAATAAATAACATACAAATGTAAACCCATCAAAATCACAGCAGATTTCTCCACAGAAACCTTAAAAGAAAGAAGGGCATGGAGTGAGGTATTCTGGGCACTGAGTGAAAATAACTTCAACCCTAGGATACTCTACCCAGCAAAACTATCATTCAAAATAGATGGAGCAACAAAAGTCTTCTGCAATAAGCAGAAACTAAAACAATATTTGACCAGCAAGCCACCACTACAAAAGATTCTTCAAGGAATTCTGCACACAGAAAATGAAAGCGAACAAAACCATGAGAGGACAGGCAGTACCAAAACACAGGAGGAAAAAAGACAAGGAACCAGAGAGTAACACTGATTCAGTTGCACACAAACCCTTACATAACAAAAACAACTAAATGACAGGAATCACCACATATGTATCAATATTAACAGTGAATGTTAACGGACTTGACTCCCCCATCAAAAGACACCATTTGGCAAACTGGATTAAAAAGGAAGATCCAACAATCTGTTGTTTACAGAAGACCCATCTCATTGACAGAAACAATCACTGGCTTAGGGTGAAAGGCTGGAAGAAGATTTACCAAGTCAATGGCCTCCAAAACCAGGCAGGAGTAGCAATACTTACCTTGGACAAAGTAGACTTCAAAGTTACATTGATCAAAAGAGATAAAGAAGGACATTCCATATTAATAAAAGGGGAAATACACCAAAAGGAAATAACAATTGTCAACATATATGCACCAAACATCAGGGCACCCAATTTCATCAAACATACTATGAAGGACCTAAAAGTACATATAGACTCCAACACAGTTGTAGTGGGAGACTTTAATACCCCCCCTATCACCAATAGATAGGTCATCCAAACAAAAAATCAATAAAGAAATTCTAGAACTAAATCACACCATAGATCAAATGGACCTAGCTGATGTCTACAGAATATTTCATCCAACTTCTGCACAGGTATACATTCTTCTCAGCAGCCCATGAAACCTTCTCCAAAATTGATCATATCTTAGGGCACAAAGCAAGCCTCAACAAATATAAGAAAATAGAAATAATCCCCATGCATTCTATCTGATCACAGTGCATTAAAACTAGAATTCAACAACAAAAACAACAATAGAAAACATGCAAACAATTGGAAGTTGAACAACATATTGCTCAACGATCAATGGGTCATTGATGAAATAAAAGAGGAAATTAAAAGGATCCTGGAAGTTGATGAAAATGAAAACACGACCTAGTGAAATCTATGGGACACAGCAAAGGCAGTCCTAAGAGGAAAGTTTATAGCCATGAGTGCATATGTTTAAAGGACAGAAAGATCTCAAATCAATGACCTAATGCGATATCTTAAACTCCTAGAAAAACAAGAACAAGCAAATTCAAAAACAACCAGAAGGAGAGAAATAATAAAAATAAGGGCCAAAATTAATGAAATAGAAACAAACAAACAAAAAAAACATACAAAGAATCAATGAAAGAAAAAGCTGGTTCTTTGAAAAAATAAACAAGACTGACAGACCCCTGGCAAACCTAACTAAAATGAAGAGAGAAAAAACCCAAATCAGTAAAATTAGAAATGCAAAAGGGAAGATAACAACAAGCACCACAGAAATCCAGGAAATCATCAGAGACTATTTTGAGAACCTATATTCTAATAAATTTGAAAATCTTGAAGAAATGGAAAAATTTCTAGATACTTGTGACCATCGAAAATTGAAGCAAGAGGATATTAATCACCAGAATAGATCTATAACACAAAATGAAATTGAAGCAGCAATAGTCTCCCAAAAAAGAAAAGTCCAGGACCTGAAGGATTCTCTGCTGAATTCTATTAAACCTTTAAAGAAGAACTAATACCAACTCTCCTTAAACTTTTCCATGAAATAGAAAGGGAAGGAACACTGCCTAACTCATTTTATGAAGCCAGTATAACACTCATCCCAAAACCAGACAAAGACACCTCTAAAAAGGAGAACTATGGGCCAACCTCCTTAATGAATATCAATGGAAAAAACCTCAATAAAATAATGACAAACCAAATCCAACAACATATCAGAAAGATCATTCACCACGACCAATTGACTTCATCCCAGAGATTCAGGGGTGGTTCAACATATGCAAATCTGTAAATGTAATACAGCACATTAATAAAAGCAAAGACAAAAACCACTTAATCATTTCAATAGATGCAGAAAAAGCCTTCAATAAGATCAAACACCACTTCATGATAAAAGCTCTAAGAAAACTAGGAATAGAAGGAATGTACCTCAGCACTGCAAAGGCTAAATATGACAAACTTATAGCCAACATCATACTTAATGGTGAAAAATTGAAACCATTTCCCTAAAATCAGGAATGAGACAAGGGTGCCCACTATCCCCACTCCTATTCAACATAGTCCTGGAATTCCTACCCAGAGCAATTAGGCAAGAAGAAAAAATAAAAGGAATACAAATAGGTAAAGAAGCTGTCAAAATATCCTTATTTGCAGACGACATGATCCTATAGCTTAAAGACCCAAAAAAACT